CATGTCCCGCCCTCCTGTAATGGACACCTAGGTCGCTCCAGCCCCGGTCCAGGCCAGTGACTCACTCACCCGAGCTCCCGGCCTGAGACTTCAATTTCCTGGTGGAGATCAAGTTCCCGCCCCGCTGGGCTGACAGCTAGGCCAATGCCGGTCTTCCCCCTCCCGCGGGCACCTCGCCCAAGCTCCTGGAACCGGGTAAACCGGTCTGGGTGCTGCTTCTGGGGTGGTCCGACCCGTGGCCCCGCCCTTTCCCAAGGCTGAACTGGGACGCTGTCTCTCCCCCTCCCCCTCCCCCACTCCGGCACAGAGAAGGGGGAGGGGAATCTCAGGATGGGGAACACATTAGAGCTGTCTCCTATTTGCTCTCCTTCAGGGCCTTCCTCTCTGGGCCTTAGTTTTCAGATCTGTAAAAAAATGGACGGCCCTAGCCGGTTTGGTTCAGTGGATAGAGCGTCGGCCTCCAGACTGAAGGGTTCTGGGTTCGATTCCGGTCAAGGGCATATGCCTAGGTTGCGGGCTCGGTCTCCAGGAGGGTATGTGCAGGAGGCAGCCAATCAATGATTCTCTCTCATCATTGATGTTTTTATCTCTCCCTCTCCCAGCCTCTCTGAAATCTCTCTCTCTCTCTCTCTCTCTCTCTCTCTCTCTCTCTCTCTCTCTATATATATATATATATATATATATATATATATATATATTTAAAATGGACGTTAGAAGGACCAGGACCGACCTCAAAGGAAGGTTTCAAAGGCCCCATTCATTCACAAAAACTAAGTAGTAAGCATCTGCTAGATTTGCCTCTGCCCTCTTGGAGCCTACAAGCCAGAAGAGGAGACAAACCCAGAAACAAATGTAAAACTAATTGTGATAAATACTACAACAAGAAAAGTAACTCTTGATCTAAGTGTCAAAAAATATAGGGATCTTGGATCAAAATGGGGGGCAGACAGCAAACACTTCCCTAGGTGAACAGGGAAGGGAAAAGCACTCCAGCAGAGAGCATATACAAAGGCCCAGTGGCTGGGAAGACTGTGCAAGTGTGAGGCACAAAAAGCAGGTCAGTATAGCTGGAGGGTGACGCAAGATTAGGCCGGAGATGCACTGGGCCCAGGTCCAGCAGGACAGTCATAGGGTTGTTGTCCCTCTTCAGAAGCAGGGTTTTCCTGACTCTGGGACAGTGGACAAAGTGATTCATTGTTATTTAAATAACAGAATACATCTCTCAGCTTCCCCTTCTTTTCAGCTTTCAGTCCCAGCTGGTTCTCTGACTTAAGGTTAGTCTTCCTCCTTTGGCAACAATGTGACCTTAACTTTGCTAATCTTCCTTTGTAACTAAGAAAGCTATCTGGAACCTCACACTGGCTACTGTTTCAGCAGGATCTTATGACAGTATTTCGTTTTCATTGTAACTTTTATGAACTGTTACCTTCTAAGTATGGTGAGTGATTAATTCACCATTAAGTTTTTAAAATTAGATAAATAATACTTATACAGTTGTTACACAGAACTGATAAAAATCCTGTCAACTGTCTGAAGTTTGGGAAATTCTAAGAGCCATCGGAAGCCATAGATTAAATGAGATAATAAATATTAAGCTCTTAGCATCTGCTTACCCCAGACAACATCATTCACTCATTTTGGCCTGGGGTGAGCATTCATTCATAAAACATTTGAATGGGGGTGCAGATGCTAAATAAAACATAAATATATCTTCTCAAATGGTGAGTAGTGCTCTAAGGAAGACTGAGTGGAGTGGGGTGCTATTTTAGTCAGGTAGCCAAAGAAGGCCTCCCCCAAGAGGTGACATTTCAGCAAAAACCTGAAGAAAATGAAGATGGATGGGTGGGTATCTGGGAGAAAGGCATTGCAGGCAGAAGGAACAGCAAGTGCAAAGGCCCTGGGCTAGAACATGCCTGGCCTGTTCTGCAAGCAGAAAGGAGGCTAGTGTGTTAGAAGCAGGGGAGAGCCGGGAGAGGGAAAAGATCCAGTTTGTGTTTTATAAAATCAGTGCAGCTCCTGAGTAAAATAGATTGTGGGGGTCAAGGGCGAGGAGGAAGCCACTGCCCTAATCCAGGTGAGAGGTGATGGAGCCAGGAAGATGGGAAAGGCTTGGAGTGTGAGGGAAGGAGAAAAAGTTATTCAGCCCGGCCAGAGTGGCTCAGGGGTAGATTGTTGACCTATGAACCAGGAGGTCATGGTTCAATTACAGGTCAGGGCACATGCCCAGGTTGCGGGCTCTATCCCCAATGTGGGGTGTGCAGGAGGCAGCCAATCAATGATTCTCTCTCATTATTGATGTTTCTATCTCTCCCTCCCTCTCTCTTCCTCTCTGAAATCAATAAAAAATGTATTTAAAAAAGAAAAAGTGATTCAAGGAGGAGTCCTCAATTGGAAGACTGGGAGGAAACAGCAAGAATTCTCTTTGGGCTCCTGTTCTATTTGAAATACCTTAGACCCCCACAAGGAGACTGGGGATGGATAGCTAAATTTAGGAGTCTGCATAGAGGTGGCATTTAGAGCCCAAAAACTGAATGAGGCTGCCAGGGGTGAGTGTAGACAGAGGTCCAAGGCCTGATGCAGGGATCACTGGTAACGTAGGAAGAAACCATGAGCATGGAACCTGCAGAAGAAAAAACAACAACAACAAAAAACCCAACCCAAAATCACTAGGTCTGGCCAAACCCAGGAGCTGGGAGGAGACACAGATTCTTGTTCATATTGAGCTACTGGAGGAGGAGAGAACTGTTTTTCAAACTCTCTGGGTTTAACACAGCATCTACACACACTTTTCCATACATATATATTTGTACTGTTTGTCATCCTGGCCTCTTAACAATAAAAAAAATAACAACACTGTGTGCCAGGCATTTTACTAAGCACTTTCCGTGTACTATCTTTTTTTTTTTTTTTTTAAATATATTTTATTGATTTTTTACAGAGAGGAGAGGAGAGGAGAGGGATAGAGAGTTAGAAACATCAATGAGAGAGAAACATCGATCAGCTGCCTCCTGCACACTACCCACTGGGGATGTGCCCGCAACCAAGGTACATGCCCTTGACTGGAATCAAATCCGGGACCCCTCAGTCCACAGGCCGACGCTCTATCCACTGAGCCAAACCGGCCAGGGCCCGTGTACTATCTTGATGGATCTTTACAATGAATCTAAGAGGTAGGGACTATTCCAAAATGTACAGCCAGGGAAACTGAGGCCCAGAGAGGTGAAGCAATTTACTCAAAGTTGCCCAGGAAGCAAGTGGAACTGGCTGTCTGGGCTCAGAAATCTGTGCTCCTTACCCCACAGCGTCTGCAGCCGGCCCTGTCACCCAGCAGCATGGTTGCCTGAGCGGTGGTCTGTCAGGCTCAGGCCTTTTACCTTTGGGGTGAGGAGCCATGGATGGTTCACATTCAACCAGACCAGTCCGGTCGGATGGGCACGTAGGTTGTCTCCAACCCGTGCCCCTTTCAGACAGCACTGTGCTGAACACCCTCCCGGAAACTCCTTGGGGAACCAGTGGGTCACGGGGATGGGGCATGTGTCGGTTTCGCAGCCATTGTCCAATCAGCTGCTCCCCGGAGGGCCTGTCCCAATGACTCGCGCCAAGTCACGGACTGACAGCCCCGGGCCCCGTAGATGTCGGTTATTGTGACAAGTTTTCGATGTTGCCTCTTCTGGCGGGTGACCTGTGTGTGCGGTGCCGGTCTGTCTCCCACCGTGTCCCCTCCCCGGGGCCGGCTCGGAAATGCCCGAGGCCGGGGCAGCCGGGGCGGGAGTCGCCCCACCGCTTCCCGCGGAAGGAAGGGCCGGCGGTTCCTGCGACAGGATGCGCGGCGAGGCCCCCTCCCGCGGCGCCGCCGGGGACTTCCTGGGGCCCGGCCAGATCTCCGGGGAGGTGCGCCTACGCGGGCACATTGAGCTACATTGGAGGTGCGGGGCTCCAGCCCCCCCACGTCCCACTGGGGAGTTCTGGGTGGCGCCGTCTCCCACCTTCCCCATAAAGGAATCAGGGGACCGGGGAGGATAGCTGGGGGTGGGGTGGGGGGCGGAGGGAGGCAGGGAGGGGCGTGGGAGGAGGCTGAAGGTGTGGTGGGGGCTGCTCCCCTGCCTCCTCCTCCTCCCACCTCGGGGTCAGACCCGGGGGTCACGGAAGCCCATTCTGGGGACCTCGCCTTCCGGAGGTGGGGCGGGTGCTCCCCGCGCCTCTCCCCACACCTGCGGCTCCTTTGTCCTCCCAACGGCCCTCGCGGGGCCAGCGCTGGGGGAATGATGAGGACTTTCTCCCCTGGGGTGGAGCCAAGCCAACGACAAAGGCTCCCAGGAGCACTTCCAAACCTGCAGCTCCTCCAGGGGAGCTGTTCCCAGGCGGACCCCACAGAGGAGGAAACCGAGGCTGGGCGCTCACCCCCGTCTGGGCCAAACAAATCCACAGCCAGAGACTGGAACATGGTGCCAAGAGGGGTCCCAAGTTTACCTGCTCAGCTCCCTGCCCCCCACCCCCGTGGGGCCCCCGCCAGAACGGAATCTGTGCGTCAGGTGCAGCCGGGTGGGGAGAACCTGCGTGTTCCCCAACTGCGCATGGCACGGTCCCCAGCAGCGTCCCCCCAAACCTACGTGAGCTGTGAGAGCCCTCGCTCTCCCAGACTTGCAGGGGGGACTTATTTCTTAATTTCATTCACCGATTTTACAGAGAAACACGGACCTGCTGGGACACCCATTCACGAGTGGCTTCTTGTCGGAGTCCTGACCTGGGATGGACCCCAAAACTTAGGCGTATAGTGATGACGCTCTACCCAACCGAGCCAGGGCCGTAGGGGAATTTCGAAGGAGTCAGAGCGCCAGGGCGCCCAGGCGGAAGTGGACTGGCTGGGAAGAGGGGGCCCAGCCCCTCCCGCCCACGTGGGAGCCGGTCGGGCCGGTTTCTGCGGCCCCAGGAAGCCGCCCCCAGCGCCTGACCCTTCACCCCGCCCCTCCCCCACCAGGGAAGAACACCAGACAGTCGACTTTGCAGTTAAATGGTCTTTATTTTCGTATCTGGTCTCTCTAGCAAAAGGCCAGACAGACAGAGTTAAACAGAACCCACCAGAGTAAATAGGCCCTCGAACGCACTGGCTAGAATCTCCCTCCCCAAGCGGGCCCGGTCTCAGCAGCACCTGGGCCCAGCTCGGCCTCACAGAACCGCGGGCACCCCTTCCCCCACTCGTGTGACTCAGACCGAGGTCTTCTGGGTTGATGGTCTGTGCCGGAGGGAGGGTCGCGCTTCAGACCGTGCGCACATCCCCACCTCGAACGCACCGAACGAGAAAAAAATTTAGCCTGAAAAGAGATCCGTTCCCCCTGCCCCGAAGGCGCAGGGGTGCGGGCAGAAGCGCGGGGGCTGCGCCCCAGGCGGCCCCCCTCCCAGGCCCCACACCCACGCGAGGCGACAGGAAGCGCCCCACGCCTGCCCGTGACGCAACGATGACCGCTTGCATAAGCATGTCCCCCGAGGGAAAGAGGGCGCCTGGGCGCCGCTGGGAACGAGGACACCGACTACCGCAACACCTCGAAAGGGCAGCACAGCCCCCGGTGAAAATAAAGTCCGACCCCGAGGAGTGTCAGGAACCAGACCCCCCTCACCCAGTCCCGGGGGACGGGAAGGCCACGTCCCCGTCGGTTAAGCCGGCACCTGTGGGCGCGGCCAGGCTCGGAGGAAGGCGCCCCCGCCCCGGCTCAGGTTCCTTGGCGCCGCCACTGCACACGGTGGCGACAGCTTCCCGGGCCGCCGCTCCTCTCCACCGTTTCCGCGGGCCTGCCCCGCGGGGGCGGCCTGGCTTCGGGTCTGTGTACTCGGGCCGACGCTCCGGCCCGCGCTCTGGACTCCGGCAGCGGCGCTCGGGGGCCTCAGAAGGCCACCACGGCCCGGACGAGCACGTTCAGCACGCTGTCCGCCGAGCGGCAGGCCGGCTTCGCCTCGCAGGCCGGCGGCGGCGGCGCTGTCGGGGGCGCGGAGGGGCTGCAGTTCAGGAGGCCGGAGAAGCGCCTCTGCAGGACGCGCGCCAGATTGGGGAAGGCGCCTTCCGCTTGCGCGGGAGGGGCCTGCAGGCGCTCGGGGACCTCCGCAGACTCCCCTTCCTCCGCGGCCCTCCTCTTCTAGACGGGCTTTCTTGCTCGGGACCAGTCCGGCATCTCCGCCGTCGCTGAGGCTGCTGCTCCGCCGCTTGCGGCTGACTTTGGCGGGTCTCGGGGCACAGCGGGCAGGGGTCTCCTCGGCTTTCGGCGCCTCCTGAGTGTCCATGGGCTCCGGGCAGGGCTGCTCACCGTCGGTGGACGCTGCTTCCGCTGCGGTTTGTGCTTCCCGCGGAGGGTGCAGGCGAGGGTCGGGGGAGCGGGCGACTGGCGAGGGCACCTCCGGCGGCTCGTGGGCTTCCACCTTGGCCGAGAGGTAAAGCTCCCGGGCGCTACGCATGACCAGAGACAGCTGCAGGCTCCGGTGCAGCCGCAGCCCTCCGCGCTGCATGCGCGAATGGTACATTTTCCACACCGACAGGGTCATAATGCGTTGCGCCTCCTTCTGCACCTCCATGGCGACTCGACGGTGGGGACTTCCCTGCTGAGTAGACGCACTTCGGACTGCGCGCTGGCTCACGCTTTCTCTGCTCACGCCAACCGGCGCCGAAACACCCCTAGGACGCTCTGCCCCGGCGCCCGCCACCTGGGCCCATTTGTACCCGGAGCTACGTCACCAGGACGCCCCGCCCAATCAGAGCGCTGCATCGGGCTTTCCACCGCGTTGGGGCCAGAGACTTCAGCCTTAAAGCGACAGGGTGGAATTTACCGGACAGACAAAAGGGACACTAGCCCGGACGCGGGGGAGCCTTCCCCAGGACCCTGAGCACTTGGGGTGGTCTCCTTTCTCAGCCCTCGCCGCCTCAGTGCGCCCGCGCGCAGGCCCCGGGGAGCGGGGCCGAGGGTGAGGCTCAGGGCCCACCCACGTGCTAGAGTTCGCTGGCCCCCGCAGGTCGTAGGCGGCTGGTTTTCCTTCGCTCCGGGGAATACCCGGGTTTGAGCCCGTACATCCCCCGTGGGCACAGTTCCAGGCGTTCATTAGTGTTTCTTGAACCAATAACAATGCTAACACTAACTGGTTAATACACAACTAACTGATTAATACGTGGCAGACGATGTTAAAGGCTTTCCTTTCATAAAGATCTCCTGGATCCCTCACGGACGGTACTGCTGTTGTACTTGATTTCTTCACGTGGGGAAACCGAGGCTGACGGACTAGTCCAATATTTGCTAAACGAATAAATGGGCCAACTGCAGCGAAAGGAGGCCTTCGCCTCTATAGCATCTAACCCACGCCAGCCCTCCTCACTCCCCCTGCCCGTAAGCGGAACAGGGTAAGCTGGCTGGTTCGGGGCTAAGTTGCCAGCTGCACTGGCGGCGGAAGCCTGCAGATCTGAGCGCATCCCAGGCTGCCATCTCTGCTCTCCGCACTGAACATCCTCCCGGTTTCCTTCGGCACAAGCTCCACGCAAGGTGGAGGGCCCGGCCACACGACATCCGGTTGAACTCATGGTTGCGGCCCCTAAACCACCGGGCCGCGCTCTGCCTCTGCACCCGGAGGCGCGGTTGGGGTAGGAGTTGAACACCGAGCAACGCAGAGAGAGGGCAGATAGAGAACATCGACCCTACCCTCCGCCACGCGCTGCCTCTCCTAGAAAACCTACTCCCAGTTCCTACCCTCCAAAAAGCTGCAACATTGTTTGAATGGCTCCATTCATTCGTGGTACGGGCACTTTAAGGAGAGGCTCCGCCCGCTTGACTGGAGCGCAGAGCCTTCCCGCCACAGGGTCCGCGCGACATCCAGACTAAATTTGGAAGGAATGACGTAGGGCAGGTGGCCGAGCCACTTCCGGCTGCCCATATAAGGACAGGGGCCGGGCTCTCCGTACGGGGCCATAGCCAGCTTTTTCCGGCCGGGCGTGGGCGGGGCCTGACCTCCAGACACGCCCTCTTCCTTTCCCCTCTCCGGGCTGGGGCTGTCGGGAGCCCCCGGCTTCCGGACCCGCGTCCAGTGGGGCCGAAGGGGAAGGTTTCGCTTCCTTCCCGGGAGGCCAGGAAGGCGTGACGCCCCTCCGGGAATGCCCCCTGGGCGGGTTGGGGTGATCTCAGGGCGCCCACTGACGCCATCTCCCACAAAGACCTTGCCTGCACTCGGGGCGGCCCGGCGAGGGCCCCTTTATCCCCGTCTCCCCAGTTATTTCTCCCCACAGGCCCGCTCCCAGGTATTACTGCTCCCCAATTAATGATCTCATGCACCCACGGAGGACGCTCAGGTCCCGCCTCTGCACCTGGGGGCTCAACAATCCCTAAAAGACCCCGAACAGCAACCGTCCCCATTCAGCGGCCTTTCCTGCCACACACTGCGCTGACCGGCTGAGAATGTCCCCCCACGCCGGCACCTCAGAGACCCACAATGACATGCCCAACCCAGGTACTAACGCCAAAACCCCACACAGGGACTCGGACACAGGGGCGACCCTCCGAGGACTTCTTCAGGGATCCGGCCCACCGCCCAGAGGGAGATCAGGACGTCATTCAGGCGATGGCTTCCCCGCACCCCCCAAAAAGTGCTTTCATGGCCCCACAAGGAACGCCCCTGCGTGACAGAGACTTTGAAAATTCCTCCCCAAACATTCCTGGTCTCTCCCCAGACGGAGACCCCGCACGCAGAGGACTGCTCTGCTCCGGAAACAATCCTCAGAGCCACCCCCGAACCCTCCCGCGACTCCCAGGCTCGCACCCAGTAAGACCCCATCTCCCCAGGAGCATCTCGGGGCGTCCACTAGCGGTCATTCCGCCCCATGGGGACCTCGATGTGCCCCTCCTCAGCAGGAAAAAAAGAGGAGAGTGAGTAGAACTACCCACAGAACGCCCGCACATCCGCCCGCCCGCAGGAAGGCGGGGACGACCGCCTTTCCCCCAGCCCTCCCCAAACCTGCCACTCCCGACCCCGGGCTGGGACATCTCCCCGCACAGGATGCGGGTGCAGGCTCCAGGAGCCCGTTAAAAGGGTCTACGAATCGAGCGAACCCCTTCCCCAGCCACAATCTCGTCTGATTTCTGGGAGCTTATTATTTTTTATTTAAAAAATATATGTATTTTTATTGATTTCAGAGAGGGAAAGATAGAAACATCAATGATAAGAGAGAATCATGGGTCGGCTGCCCCCTGCATGGCCCCCGCTGGGGATCAAGCCCGCAACCCAGGCATGTGCCCTTGAGGAAATTCGAACCTGGGACCCTGCAGTGCGCAGGCCGAAGCTCTATCCACTGAGCCAAACCAACTAGGGCTGAGAGCTTATTATTATTTACGTTGCTGGTAAGGGAAACTGAGGTTGCGCAGCAACAATTCAAGGGGCTGGGTCTCGAACCCCGAGACGCCGAGTTCAGACTCCAGCCTGGTCAGGCGGAACTACGGAACGGCTGGGAGCGGCGGGAGCGGCGGACGCGAAGGGCGGAGGCACGCGCACGGAAAGCCGCCTCTGCCCACAGCCAAGATGGCCGCGGCGGCGGCGGGAGCTCTGCACTTCCGGCTTTTGGGGCCTCTCTCTCTCCTCGTGGCCCGGCTCTCGATGGTGGCTTGGGTCACGTGACGGGGGCGGGGGTGGTGGCGCGTTCTCCCCCGCCGCGAGGAAACCAGCTCTCCAGGCCGGGAGGGGAGGGGGCTCAGTCTCCCACGGGGGGCGGTGACATGTCTCTCGAAGACCCGTTTTTTGTAGTCCGAGGGTGAGTGACAGCGATGGGGGCGGGCAGAGGGTGCTCGGGCCCCCGCCAGCCAGTGCCCGGATGCGGGCCGCAGCGTGCCAAGCGGTCTGGGGGTGCGCGGGTCGGGATCACCCGGTGGCCGAGTGGGAGGGGTACGCCAAATGATGGAGGGGTCCTCTGAGCTCCCCCACTCATTTGGGGGCGCAGCGGCGGGCGGCCCCCAGACGCGCCCGCTGTGCCCCTGCCCGCAGCGAGGTGCAGAAGGCGGTGAACACAGCCCGCGGGCTGTACCAGCGCTGGTGTGAGCTCCTGCAGGAGGGCGCCGCGGTCGGCCGCGAGGAGCTGGACTGGACGACCAATGAACTGCGGAATGGCCTGCGCAGCATCGAGTGGGACCTCGAAGACCTGGAGGAGACCATCGATATCCTGGAGGGTCGGAGGGTTGGAGGGCGGCCTGGGAGAGCCAGCCCATTGCGGTGGCAGGGGGATCTGGGAGGCTGGACACCGGGGAGGAGTTGAAGGCTTTGAGGCCGATGAGGGGGTTGTGTCTAGCTGTGGCCTTGACTCTTGACCCGGGGGCTACGCATAGTGGAAGCCAACCCAGGCAAGTTCAAGCTCCCAGCTGGGGACCTGCAGGAGAGAAAGGTCTTCGTGGAGCGGATGCGGGAAGCGGTCCAGGTGAGAGGAGGTTATGATGGGGTAAGGGTGGAGGTTGGGACGTCTTTACTCTCTGATGCTGTCCTCACCCCCAGGAAATGAAGGACCATATGGTCAGCCCAGCAGCCGTAGCCTTCATGGAGAGAAATAATAGAGAGGTAAGGCATCTCGACCTGACCCGAAACATTTTTCAGGGTGAGCCTCTCAGTGCGTGTTTGCTTGTTCCTGGGAGAGTGTACGTCTGTCCCCATCCTCCTTGTGTGCAGTCCTCTTGGCTGTCTACCTGCCTGCTTTCCGTGTGTGTATACCTGAGCCCTCACTGATTGTATAATACTCCCTTCTGCCTTGTCCTGGAGGTCTATACTGGTTTCCCAGGGTGGGGGTGGGGTGGGGGGTGAGTGGTGTCTGTATACCTATCCACTTTCTTTGTGTTTACTGTTTCCAGCATAATGCCTACTTTTTTTTCTCTCTGTGTATGCTCTTGACCTATCTGAGTGTGTGAACTTGGCCTCTGAGTGTATCTTATCTGCCTTGTGCATGCACACCTTCCCCCCCACCCCCATGGGTGTCCTTGCTTTGTGTGTGTGCCTGCTCATGCCTTTTGTTTGAATGCTTCCTGCTGCCTGTCTGTACTCCTTTCCCCTCTGTGTTGCATGCCCATTCTTTGTATGTTGTGACACCACCAGCCTCTCCCCCATCCCATCATAAGCCCACATGGGATCTGGGAGGGTGGGGGATCTGAGGCCCACACCAGCTTGGAGTCCTGTAGCAGTGTCTATGTCAGCCGTGGGCAAACTACGGCCCGTTTGAAATGAATAAAACTAAAAAAAAAAAAAGACCGTACCCTTTTATGTAATGATGTTTACTTTGAATTTATATTAGTTCACACAAACACTCCATCCATGCTTTTGTTCCGGCCCTCTGGTCCAGTTTAAGAACCCATTGTGGCCCTCGAGTCAAAAAGTTTGCCCACCCCTGGTCTATGTGCTTTCCTGGTGTGCTGCCTTGGGGATTAAAGTCCAGATTCTTACATACACTTGTTTATATGGTAACTAGTGGCCCGGTGCATGAATTCGTGCACATTGAAAGGAAATTAATTAGAAGAAATATTTTAATGTCGTTATTCGCCCTTCCTCTATAATAGAAGTGTCAACCAAATACACAATTGACAATGACAGATTGAAACACATACGTGCAATTGGCCCCAGTGAGAGTTTTATATGTATTGCGTATATGCGGGTCAACTTAGCCTTTTATATATATAGAATAAACTTGCTTAATTAGACCAGCTTTCTGATGTAGCTAAACTTTTCCCAGCCCAGTGAAGCACCCCAATTTCTCTTTCAGGTAATTGTCAGCAACACAGCAGTATATATCAACATGAACAGATTATTATTGTAGATCATGCAGGGAGAACAAAGGGTGAAATATTTAACTGCAGCAGTGTTTGACTATATTCTGTGCAGTGAGAAAACCTTAAGTCATTTTCAAGGTTCATCATTTCTTCTTTTCAGTCAGGTCAAGTTTCTAAGCTTTCTAAATCTTCGTTTTCCGGCTAATGAAAAGCAAATAGGATTCCACTGAGTCTCCTCTCTACCTACTCCAGGACTTCTGTGAGGATCAAATGAGATGAGGCACAGGAAAACGCTTCACAGACATTTGGTTACAGTGTAAAATGTTTCCACCTGTGTTCCTGGGCTGAAGAAACGCCAAGGAGGCTAATTGCTAGGGAGAGGGAGCTGGGTGTTGTTATGTGACATTACCTGGAGCCCACAGCCACCGTTTCAGGGCTGGGCTGGGCTGTGGGCCACATTTTGCGCCATGGGGTCTCGGCAGCGTCGGCTGCGATTTGGTGGGGTGTCACTCCAGGGTGGTGGTGGGGCCTGTGTCCCACTTGGGGGAAGCCGAGTGTTGCTTTGTGGGCACCAGGTCGAGGTGCCGTTTCTCTGTAAATGGCCAGTGCGCATCACTGTAGCTCCTGCATTGAGCTTCTGCCCCCTGGTAGTCAGTGTGCATCATAGGTACCAGTCAGATGGATACTTAGCATATTAGCCTTTTATATTTATAG